AAAAAGAAGTAAGAGGCATCTGTATTGGTAAAGAAGAAGTTAAACTGTCACTATTTGGAGATAACATGATACAATTCATAGAAAATCCTAAAGATACTACCAAAAACTACTAGAAGTAATAAACGAATTCAGTAAAGTGTCAGGATACAAAATTAATACCCAGAATTCCATAGTGTTTCTATACATTAACAACAAAGTCACAGAAAGAGAAATTAAAAACAAAACACCATTTATAATTGCATCAAAAAGAATAAAATACCTAGTCATAAACTTAATAAGGAGGTAAAAGATCTGTACTCTGAAAACTATAAAACACTAATGAAAGAAACTGAAGATGACACAAATGGAAAGATATTTCATGCTCATGGATTGGAAGAATATTGTTAAAATGCTCATAATACCCAAAGCAATCTACAGATTCAATGCAATCCCTATCAAAATACCAACAGCATTTTTCACAGAACTAGAATAAATAATACTAAAAGTTGTATGGATCCACCAAAGACTCTGAATAGCCAAAGCAATTCTGAGAAAGAAGAACAAAGCTAGAGATATCACATCCCAGATTTCAAGATATACTACAAACCTGTAGTAATCAAAACAGTATGATACTGACACTTAGATGAATAGAAGAGAATAGAGACCCCAGAAATAAACCCATATTTTATGGTCAATTAATCTATGACAAAGGAGATAAGTATATACAATGGGGAAAAGACAGTCTTTTCAATAAATGGTTCTGGGAAAACTGGACAGCTACATGTGAAAGAAGGAAATTGGGCTACTTTCTCATACCATACACAAAAATAAATTCAAGATGGATTAAAGACCTAAATGAGAGACCTGAAACAACAAAAATTCTAGAAGACAGCACTGGAAGGAATTTCTCTGACATAAGCCATAGCAACATATTTCTAGATACATCCCCCAAGGCAAGGGAAACAAAAGCAAAAATAGACTATTGGGACTATATCAAAATAAGAAGCTTTCGCACAGCATAGGAAATCATCAGCAAAACAAAGAAGACAACCTACTGAATCAGAGAAGATATTTGCAAATGATATATCCAAGAAGGGGTTATCCAAAACACATAAAGAATGCGTACAATTCAATACCAAAAAAAACCCCCAAAAAGACAAAAAAAAAAAAAAAAAAAAAAAAAAAAACCCAACCACAATCTGATTAAAAAATGGGCAGAACACTTGAATGGACATTTCTCCAAAGAAGACATACAGATGGCCAACAGACACATGAAAAGATGCTCAACATCACTGATCATCAGGGAAATGCAAATCAAAACCACAATGAGATATCACCTTATTCCTATTAGAATGCCCAAAATCAAAAAGACAAGAGACATAAGTGTTGGCATGGGTGTGGAGAAAAAGGAACCCTTGTGCAATGTTTAGGAATACTATATGAGCTAATGATTCCACCATTGTGTATTTACCCAAGCAAAACCAAAACACTAACTCAAAAAGATATATGCACCTCTATGTTTATTGTGGCATTATTTAAAATAGCCAAGACATGGAAGCAACCTAAGTGTCCATCAATAGACAAAAAGATAAGGAAAATGTGGTATACATACACATTGGAATATTACACAGCCATAAAAAAGATGAGATCATGTCATTTGAGACGATATGGATGGACCTGGAGGGGATTTTGCTAAGTGAAATAAGTCAGACCAGGAAAGCCAAATACCATATGATTCCACTCATAAATGGAATCTAAAAATTGAGTAAACAAACAAAAAGCAGAACTGTAAAGACAGAGAACAAACTGATGGTTGCCAGAGGGTAGGGTGGTGGGGGTTTGGGCAAAATGAGTGAAAGAGAGAGGGAGATATAGGCCTCCGATTATGGAATGTGTAAGACATGGAAATAAAAAGCAGAGCATCAGGAATATAGTCAATGACATTTTAATAGCAATGTAATGGGACAGATGGTAGCTATATTTGTGATGAACATAGCATAATGTATAAACTTCTCAAATCACTAAGTTGTCCACCTGAAATTAATGTAACATTTTGTGTCAACTATATTCAAATAAAACAAAAAACAGAAAACAACCAGTTTGATGATATAGTATTTTAAAATCTCCACATATTTAAATCTTTTCTATAAAGAATGTAGATTTGCCAGGTATGTTACATAGAGGAAATGAGGTCAGAAAGTCAATTTTTTCCTTAATGACCTTTAAACTGAAGCTGACTTAGACCTGACTTCCTGGGTCACTCCTTATCAAACAACCTGGATCCATAACCTCTGACTCCTAAGGGTAGAAAGTGCAGGGTAAGATACCTAGGGATAGAAAATGCAGACTGGACTTAACCTTTTTCCATACCTTTATGTTTTATTAGTACTTGGCTTTTTGATGTTTTCATTTTGATTTTATGGCCATTTTGACATACAAAATGTGTTATATTTATTTCTGTTATTGATAGACATTCTAAAACAGCAGGTTTTCTCTTATTACTTAGACATTCATTCCCAGAGAGTTATGTTTGTTCTCTAATCTGATTTCAATACCCTTCCTATCTCTCACATCCCTCTTGGGGGATGCAACGAGAGCTACCAGAAGGCCTGATGGAATCTCCATCAGGTCAGACTACTTCCTGGAAAATTAAATGTGGAGGATACTCTGATAGGGATACCTTGCTCATTTTCTTGCTATGTGTTTTTACATAGTTGTTGGTTTTGTTTTGTTTTTAATTTATATTGAATTTTCTGTGTCCAACGATTGTCAATTTTTTTTTAATTTTTGTTTTTGCTTTACAAAATGGACTTAGTTAAACCCTTTCATAATTCCTTAAAATGTTTCAATAGCTGATTACTTTAAAAAAAGAAGTTTTAAATAAGTATCTATTTCCAATGGGAAGATTAGTCAGAAATAAAGATACCAGAATCCTAATAATACAACATAGAAATACAATTCAATTTACATAGCTTTTTAGGACCATACCAAACCATTATATGTTATATATTTGTTTCTGTGATTCTTGGTTGCTAGCTAGATAACATTGAATTTTACATTTGTGATTTCTGCTTACAAATCTAAAATTGTAGAACTTTCCTAAATTATGTTTATATAAATAGCTAAATGCATTTTTAACTAGTAATGCAACTTGAAGTCATATCCCTAAAGGCATCAAATAATTAGCAAGTCTAATTCTAAATATTCAAATTTCTGCCTGCTATATATGCACTGTACAATGCATTTATTATGACAGCTTTGTCTGATAGTTTGCTTCAATGTGAACTGTGTCACAATGCCACGTCCTTGAGTAAAAGTCTTTATGCTCTTTCAGTCACTGCTACCTCCTAATCTATTGACATTCCTTGGCAAGTATGTGAAATAAAAGTTTTCAAAACAATTGACATATGTGACCAAAAATTTCACCCGTGTCAGTTATCATCATAAAATATAATTTCCTTAATAGTTATTACACATTTACAGCAAAGAAGACATAAGTTAATGGAAGCATTTAATGAGGCCCGGGGATGTTGATTTGGAAGAGTGTGGTAATAGTCCTTTGGTATGGACAAAGTGTATAAACAAAAATAAGTTAGCCACTTTGATGTTGGACACCTGGACCTCATATACATCATCTTGCCTTTTAATTATATGTACTTAATGTATGTGTCCCTTGATTGCTAAATGAATAAATTTAATTTGGCTAATTCTATATTTATTAATTGTATTATTTGGGATGTTAAATGGCATTTCTTTTTTAGCTAAAAAATAAACCGCCTGACTCACAAAATAATTTATTCCATTTTAGCTTCCATTCAATTTTCTTAGGGTATGTGAAGCTATAAGCCATTTAATAGATTTTTAGCATAAATATCCTACATCATATGGGTTCACAGTGCTTAAATGGCTCTATATTCTGCTAAAAATAAATTTTACTTTGTACCTAGAAATAAGCCGTAATATATTGGCTCAACAGAGTCAATTAAATGGAAGTTCCTTAATAAGATGAATTTGTTAAAATATAATTGCAGTTGAGCCCATCACTAACATTCCAGGTGTCATTCACAATGCCACCAGCATAATTTTAGTTGGAGCAAATAACATTCCTTTAGAAGAAATAATTTTTGGTGAACATTTTTCTTCTATCTAAAAGAATAATAACAGCATGATAGCATCAGAATTTTGACAATGCTGTCATTTTGAAGTTAGAGGTAGGTAATCTATCAGATTAATTTTTTAGCTAATTGGGAAAGAAGAGGGGTATGGAATTAAGATTCACACTCTACTGGGAATTTAGAGACAAATTAAAATGTTAGCTATAATTAAATCATAGAGTTTGAAAGGACTTGAGAGGTCATCTATCAGTCAAATAGCTTTCATCTGAGAAAGAACAAACTTAAATCATCCTTCCATGAGTATTATCTGTACTGTTTTAAAGACAACCTCAATTAGCTTAGCGACTCAAAGCAGTGTTTAATAATCTTCATAGTTGGTGAAATCATCCTGATATCTGAATACCTCAAACTGGATAAACACTTCTGCTATGTCATCAGTTTATTTGGAAAAAGATATATTTGAAACCTTTCAATGAGTAATTGAAAAGCTGTCAAATCAAGGTTGCTCTGTTTTAACCTGAAGAAAGTCTATTTTTCTTTGATGGCTTTTTTATTCTTGGGTTTCCTTTCAAGCATTTTCATTATTTTTATGATTCTACATTAATATTTACAAGTTTATATCCCACTTACTTTCTTGAGCCTGCATTAGACAAGACGCTTTTAAAAATGTGTTTAAGTGGAGTTAAAGATAGAATTCCTCATTGTTCCTACCACTGTATATTGTGTGTGTTTTTTAAACTTCTACAACCCAAACTATCTATATGTTTTTTCCATTGTCATAAATTAATTCCAGAATTTGTTCTCCTTGCCCTGTTAACTTACCATTTTCTCCTGGTATTTTGTTTCAATAAAATTAACTTGTATCTATGAAATATTAAAAGTATTTATTGGGAGAACTGAACTCACCCTAGGAGTGAAGGTGGCATCATTGATAGAATGCATGTGACCATAAAGTGACTGCTCACAGTTACCCTAGGAAGACAAAGCAGAAATAAAATCAAATAAATGCCATTCAATGTGTGAAAGAAATCAAAAGGTAATTAATTTTATTTGTTTTAAAGTATTGCATTAAGTTTCCTTATACCAAGACAGTGTTCCTCTCAACTTTTCTTCCTCAGGGATTTCTCCCCAACCCTGGAAGATATCTTAGCCTCCATGCAGACTAGGTTGGAAGTATGACAGAGTTATACCCCTTCCTCCATATACCTTGACAAATGTGGGATGGGAATTAGTGATTAATGCCTGGAACTTTGATCCTTTAGAGCTGAGCTGTCCAATCGAGTAGTCACTAGCCAGCCATTTATATGACTATTTACACTTAAATTAATTAAAATTACATAAAATTAAAAACTCAATTCCTCAGTCATACTAGCCATATTCCAGGTGGCTATTATAGCAGACAATGTGGACATAGAACATTTCCATCATCAAGAAAGTCCTATTGGACAGTGCTGTTTAAAGGAATGCTTCTAAGACTGTGTGTTCTACAATTATTCATCAGAGAATCCTCAGCAGGATTTAGCCTTAGTTGCCCATAGGGTAACTGGATCAAGAATGTATCCTTTATTGGGTCTTGCTCTCTTCTTTAGCTCACTCCTTGCTTCTTCACTTCTACTTCCTGGGATAGCAACCAAATAAACTGCTTATACCACCCCCCCCCCAAAAAAAAGTATTGCTTTAGTCCAATAATAAAGTTAATACAGTCTCATGATTGAAAATACTAGGTTTTGCTATCAGCTACCACTCAGAATCAGTCCAGGCTATGTTCGTAAGTGTGTCATTAGTGCTTGTCTGTGCACTGGAACTCTAGTATCGTCACTTTTATGCTATTGAGCTGGTGGTGAAATTTCACTATATGACTCCGGCTTGCAATTAGCATAGTTTTCAAGCCATGGGGCCAAGTAGTGAAGCCCTTATAGAGGGTGCTTGTTTTCAGCACATCATTGCCATTACTACTGGGGATGTGGGGTTCTTTTTTTGTTTGTTTTAGATTATGAGATCATGTTTTAATTCCTGAGTTTCCACAGTTTGGCATTAATATCATTATATGTATAAAAATGTTATAAAACACTTTTAACACAAACTAAGCATTTGTTTTATGAAAACTATATTTCACATCTACCCATTCTGGTCATCTTTTCCAAATAATAATTAAAATTAAAATTAACTACAAAAGTTTCCAAACTTCAGTTTAAATTATTTCAAGCAAATTGGGCTCATAACACATTACACAGGGGCTTTAAATGTGGGGAGTTTCATTTTGAAACCAATGTTCAAAGGGCATTCTTAATTATCTTAGGGAAATAACACAAATTTTGTAGAAGAACCAGAGTTGTATCTGGATGTAGATTCTTGTTATGGGTTAAAATTCAGATTTAATTCAACAATGTATTCATTCAACAAATATTTTTGAGCAATTAATCTATGTCGGGCACAATTCTAGGTGCTTAGGATCTGTCAGTGAATAAAACAAAGAACTGTGTCTTCATCAACCTTACTTTATAAGGGGAGAGGGTGGAAATAGATATTTTAGAAAGGTATAAAGTGTGTTAGAAGATCCTAGGTATTGTGAAAAGAAGAAAAGTCAGACAGGGTAAGGGGTATTATGAGTTTTGGGATTGAGGGGCTAAGGGCAAACCAAATTATCAAGTAGAATGATATGGTTTGACCACACACAACAAGTAAGGTTTGAACAAGGATTGAAGCAAGCCAAGGAGACATTTGGAAAAAAAGCATTCCAGGAAGAAAGAAAAGGTAGAGCAAATGTCTCAAAGATAGGCGTTTACCTGGTGTGTTTCTGCAATAGCAAGGAAACCAATGTGGATGGAGAGAAGTAAATCAGAAGTAGAGTAGGCTTGCTAAAAGGCTTCATCTACTCTGATTACTTAGTCCTAAACCATTATGGCTGGAGGAAAGATTGCGAGATAGAGTATCGTCAGCATGTCTCCTCATTGTTATAGGACATTCATGGAATAGTTTGGAACTAAGCAAAGTTGGAAAGGTTTTATAACTAGGCTCTATTGAGTCCTCACTATTGCCATTGTGTTCAGCAAGTTACATTTCAAATATTTATTTACAGAACTAATGCATGCTGTTAATCCCTTTTCACAGAATGCAAAATTTCCCCACAGGAATTTAAATTTCACAAAAATATGTTGAACTACTCTGGCACTCTTTCAGGATCTCCCTTACCCATGTTATTCTGGTTCACGATCTTGAGACTGCTACAACTTTAAAACAATTATGCTGAGAACTTCAAATCCTCTAAATTACCAAAGTAGAAATAAATTACTTACAAAGCCAAAAAGGCAAAGTGTAAGATGTTATAAGCTTTCATGTGTTATCTTAGGAACTTTTATAGTTAATTTTCTCTTAGAATTAACATCATATATAGTTGTATAATATTACACCTGCATAGTGAGTGTTAATATTTAAAATATATATATTTAAATTAGTGAAATTTTTTTTGCATTATAAAAGTTTTACATTGGGTGCTCTTCTAATGTGAGAATCTCTAAACTCTTTGATTAATTGTTAAGGAAAATGGAGTTTTCTGATTCAAATCCTGAATGCCAAGTTTTAATTCAAAGTGGAATCTCTAAGGCACTCTTGAAAAGCCTTGGAAATATGGGGCTATAATGGAAATGCTGACGGACCACATTTGTGCTGCTGTAACAAAACCTGACTTGAAGATAAATGTTTCATGAATTAAGAAAAGTTAAAAAAAGCTTTTCTATCTAGCTTTGTTCCCAAGATAAAAGTGAATCTACTCTTTTTGTGGTACAGGGCATATGTGGGTTACTAATATTCTAGTCTGCAAACAGCCTTAATCAAAAGCAATACCCAAACCAGGATGTTAAAATTTGGAATATCTTCTTTGATGAATTCTTGTCAGGATTGTTTTCTTCCAAAGAAGTGGAAAAAAAAAAAGTAAAAGAGGGAAGAGTCTTATAAGAAAAAAAAAACATGTGACCCAATATGTCATTGCTCCAGTATTTGATTCTCTCAGAAAAGCTACGTGCAGTGATGATTGCGATCTCTGGCCCTGGGAATAGAAACGTCTGGGACTTAATTCTTGGATCTGCTACCTGATAGCTGTGTGACCTTAAACAAATTGCTTCACTTCACTGTGTGTCAATTGCCTCATTTAATTCTCAAAACAAACCTAGAGGTTAAATACCATTACTCAGGTAATGGTATTTAACCTCTAGGTTTGTTTTGAGTATTAAATTGGAAGATGCATGTGAAATGTTGGTGGAGTGCCTAGCACAAAGTAAGAGCTTAACAAATATTAGCTCTTTTTATTTTTTTAAAGATTTTATTTATTTATTTGAGAAAGAGAGAATGAGAGAGAGCACATGAGAGAGGGGAGGGTCAGAGGGAGAAGCAGACTCCCTGCCGAGCAGGAAGCCCAATGTGGGACTCGATCCAGAGACTCCAGGATCATGACCTGAGCTGAAGGCAGTCGCCTAACCAACTGAGCCACCCAGGCGCCCAACAAATATTAGCTCTTAACCTGCAACATAAACCACTGAAATGCTGATGACTTCCAAACCATTTCTGCCCTTAGCTCTCTCTTTCCTTAAAGACCCCAGTGAAGAGTAGTAGAGGAACTGGTGCTGCTTTTTCTACTTGTCCCTCGGATTCATCCCTGTGTGGCCCTGCCCAGAGTCTGTGCCCTGCTTTCTACCAACCACATCACTGGGGGCACTCAAGCCCTCCGGCGTCTGGTTGGATTCAGCCAGAGGGAAGCACCAGCAGGATATGAAAAAGCAGAAAGATATAGAGGGCAGATAAATGACTACTTTAGCTCCCTTCCTGTTCAGCTGTGATTTTGTCAGTGGTCCTGTTTTCTACCTAATTCCGCTCATGTTATGTGGGCCCTCTCCCAAGGCTACAGCTCCACCGTATCCAGTAATGTTCTCCTTCCCTTGCCCCTTCAGGCTTCCCATTGTTGCTAGCCCTTGGGTGCTGTGTTTGTTCCCTTAACACCATTCACATCTCTGTAAACATTCAACCTTCATGTGTCATCTGTTTCCTGCTGGTGATACGGCACGTCAGACAGAATATGCAAAAGAAGACCTTTGACTTACTACTTCTCAACTGCCTGTCTTTACTCTTGCCAAGTCTTTCCCTCTAAGTAAATGGCACTACCAGTTGCTCAAACAAACAAAAAAACCTTAGGCAATAACACACCTGAGAATTACAATACTTCTCCTTCTACCCCCACCCCCACACATCCCTCATCCAGCACATCAGCTTTTTCTTCAACACAAAGCCCTACTATGCCCACCTCTGTCCCTTTTTTACCATTACTACTCTGTGCAGGAAATCAGCCATCATACTGAGCCCAAAGACAGCAGGAGCATCCTTATTGGTCTCCTTGCTTCTACTCTCACCCCACTCCCCATCTATTCCTCTCACAGCAAGTAGAGTGATCAATAAAACCTGGATCAGATCATGCCATGCTCCTGGTAACAGCCACCTGAACAATTACCATCATACTCAGAATAAATTCCAAAGTCTTTACTTTGTTCCAAAGGCTCCATACTGTTTGGCTCCTGTCTGCCTATCTGACCTCATCCTTTACCATTCTTCCTTCTCATGCACTGTGCTTCATGAATATATTCATGTTTCTGCATGGTCAGGGCTTTCTGAGCAAACAGTACTACATCTGGATTAAAGGATGATTGAATAACAATCCAACTGTAAAGACAGAGATCTCTGGAGAGATTTAGGTGCATCTCTCTCTGAGGTATTCATTTACATTTCAGGGGTTGCAAGCCTAGAGGCTTATCTCTTCTCTTCCCAGAGAGGATCTGTTTACATTTCCAACAAAGATTTCTCCCTCTCCCCTCTCCCCATCACCTTTCCTCCTTGGAGGGGCACAAGGGCTCTGACTTTCATAATTTGGGGGTTCCTTTTCATGACACATGACCTCACCGTACCTGTGGGGTACACCTGGCTCTCGC